ACATTGAAAATGCTGTTGTGGCTGCATCAAAGGCGTATTGTTTTATTGTAAGAAATACCGGTGATTTCCACAACTCCTTTACACTGAAAATACTGTACTATGCTTATGTAAGATCTAAGCTTGAGTATGCGTCCCTGGTATGGTATGCTCATCATCAAATATATATTGACCGCTTAGAGTCCGTTCAAAGAAAGTTTTTAAAATACCTCTCATACAAAGCTAATGGGATATATCCCGCTATTGGCTTTCCTCATAGTGAGTTGATGGCGAGACACAAAATCTATAATTTAGAGAGCAGACGCAAAATTCACTTAAGTTTATTCACAAGCTCATCCACGGCATTATTGACTCTAGTGTCATCTTAGAACAACTTAACTTCTTAATTCCTAGAATACTGTCACGAACTAGTTTAACTTTTTACTTAGCCAGGCCCAGGACTGACATACTTAAGTTTTCCCCTATATATATAATGTGCCGTAATTATAATTCAGTTAATAGCGTTTTAGATATATTTTCGTTTTGTGCGACTTTGGGAGACATTAATGCTTATTTTCGTTAATGCTTGCCGGTGTGATTGTTGAGTGCTGGGTAGGTAAAGCTAGAACGCTTTTTTTTCCTCCCATTTCTGTTTTGAGGTTTTTTTTTGCAACGTTTTAGCTTTCTCTACATACATCCAGAACATGCTTTTGCTTATATTTTCATGTTTATCCATCCTGTAATTGGCTATGGCTGTTGGATGTTGCTAAATAAATAAATAAATAAATAAATAACACCGCGGCTAGCACTGTGAACAAAATCAAATCGTGCAATTCTAGGTCCAAACAAAATTACGATTTTAGCCATACATAGAAATTCCTAAATTAACATTTGGATCAATTTAATACTTGTTAACAATACCAAGACACCCCTTTAACAGACCCAATTTACCCTCTTTGCTCTTCCCCCTTTATTCCTTTCTTTCTTCTTAATTTTTTTCCTCCCTGACTTCGTCTGGTATCTGGGCAACCAGACCTGACAGACCTACGATACTTTAACAAACAGCGAAGGTCCCACGGACCGCTCTGAAGGACAATAGGCCGTATATATAAAAATGAAGCATTTACTTTGAAGTAAAAGGTACAAGCAAAAGGTAGAAGTAAAAGGTTTTGCTCTAATTCGTATTCATAACCTCTACCTCTTTCGTGCAAGCAAATGCTTCGGGAAAATAAAGTAAAAGGTACGGAGATTAGCGATTTCGACAAGATATGACTTGCAGCGTGCAATCAACGCATATGTGGTCTGTAACTGATGGGGTGGATCTTGTTTGTCTCATAATTAAAAGCAGTTCGCACGTCAATTGATGTAAAGAAGATCCATCTAACTTATTTGTGCAGATATTTTAAAGTGAATAAAATATTTAAAATGTCTGACACCGATAGTGAACAGGAAGTTACCGAAGATGCCCCTAAAGAGATGATGTTTATCGCTGGAAAAGTCCAAGCATTTCCGGAGATTCTCGAGAAATCTCAAGTTCCAGCGATGAAAAAGAAGAAAACTGCTGCATTAACTGATATCGTTAAGGAATACGTTACTTTATTTGGCAAGCAGATGGATATTAAAGCTTTTATGAAAAAAGTGGACAATATGAAAACGCGACTGAAAAATAAAACTGACAAAAATAAAACAGGGAACAAGCCCATTCGTCTTTTGTCCTGGGAAAAAGTTATGTTAAAGGCTATGGATGCGGACATAAATCCTGTACTAAGTCGGGTACCAGGTGAGAAATAGATTCAGGTCTTTACTATTACCTTGTAGGTACTTATCATGCATGTATATTTTTATTAGGGGCTCTTGCAATTGGCGTGGCAAGTCAACCTTCTTTACCTACTTCAAAGGATGACATTATTGTGGAAAACGACGCTCATCAGATGATTATGCCTCAAGTAGTAGCTAACAAAAAGCGATCCTATACATCGGTTGAAGAGGTTGCTGCAAAAAAAATTCCTCCGAAGCCTACCTTTGCTTCGGGCAAACAAGAGTCTGACGAGACGAGGCAGTTAACGACAACCCAGCTTCAACGATTAGTTTTAGTTGAACAACTGATAGTTGCTCGTCTCCAACAACAATACTACTCTGCCAAGCTAAAAAATGTAAACGAGGCATCAAACGAAAAAGCCCCGCAAGATTATGTTGTTGGAGATATTTACCAAAATTTGTGAATAGACGTATATGTAATATGTATCATTTATAACAAAAAAAAAATAATAATTAAACTTTTTTTTCCAGTTCGATAACTCCAATAGCTGTGGGAAAACGGAACCTGGTCAACCATTTCTCTTTGGCCTGCATAGTTTGATTTTCTGTATTTGGGAACCGGATAAATTCTCCGGCTTGTACAATTTGCTATAGCACGTCATGAAATATTCTGGACACTGTGGGCTGCGAACATCCCAATTCTTCAGCTATTCCGCTCTGAAATCCAGGGTTTGCACAATACCGCAGAAATATTTTCATTTTCTGCACAGGTGACTGGGCTGCTCCACGAGTTTCGAAATCCATACCAAGAAAGTAATTTGCCAACCACACCAAATCCTCCTCAAATCTAAGCAACGTCTTGAAATCTGACTCACGAGGTGTACGTCTTGATTTGTAATATTTTCTTGTACGTAAATGCACCCCATTAGCCATAACTAACACAATAATCAACCAAAGAGCACTTAAACAAGCCCTTACAAATAGATTTTATTAAACGGAAATGCACAAATTTTAAGATGCAGGCTCTAAGATGCCGGGACAACTAATGATAAAATGAGAAAAGTTGCTGTAACCTAGATTCCTTTTTTGAGAAGCAAATCCATTAGTTTTTAAGCAAATGTTTCTTTTTATAAATAAGAAAACGTTAACACCTTTTACTTTACAGAAGCGAGACCTTTTCCTTCACTTCTTTTTATGCATATAATTTGAAGAAATTGCTTTATTTTTTGAAAGCAAACGGTAAAACTTTTTTTTATAAATATGGACTAATTGACGCATAGAAGACCGTTCGTATACAAATGCTATTAGATACAGGGTGTACTTTTATTTGGATCATATACAAAAATAAATGATGGATGATGATGATGGTTTCTCAAAAACGAAGCGTCGGGCACAAAATCTAAAAACACACACCATCATGTAGTGCCTAAAAAGTTTCATTACTTGTTTGGTATTTCTTAAAATAAATAATAATAACGATTTAGCAAAATTTTAATTTTTCTCGAATATCCTAGTAAGCCATGAAATTTGCAGGAAGAGGTAAACAAACTCGTGTTTTTGAGTCGAACAGAGACAACTTCAAGCAGTATTTACAAACAAAACTTGTGGCAGGGCGGTACTTGAAATTGCTTACCAAATGAATAGTGAGTTTTTTCTTCAATTTCTTTTTTACATGTTGGGCGTTGTTTTGCCTCAAATTAAAAATGAAAGTCCCAACTGTCTGAATCACCCTGTATAATATTAAATATATTTTAAGTTGTGTATCATGTACTCACACCAAATGATGTTTCTTGTGTCATATATTTGTAGGTATTATCGAATTCTACAGATAAAGCATCCATCATAAATCGGTTACGTTTCTTTTTTGGCTTTATCGTTTCTTCCAATTCAGTTTCCTCTCTAGACCTTTTCTGGTTAGCTTGCATTCCTTCAAAACTTGTGTTTTTGAGTGCTGCTGAAACAAATAGTGTAGTTGCGATATTTTACTACTGAAATTATTAGTATATATATATGAACCCTAACACAAAAATGTTCGGACATTATCTAATTTTATCTAAAAGTTTGTTTATTTTTGTAAGGTTAAAAATTGATTGTTTTTCTGTTATATGACAATTAAATATATTGTTCGCACATCATAGTAACAAAACTGTTTTCAAGTGATATGATATTGAAATAGAAAATCAAACTAATACTATACGCAAGGCTTTGTTGACACATAAATGTTGATATTAAAAAGAATAACAGGCCATGGAAACAAAAATGTTCTGAAGAAGTAATCATAGTCAGATGTGTTCTTAGAGGCGATACTCAGAATTTCCACTGCTAAAATCATTGTACCAAATATTGAAAAATTTGTTGAATCGAAACGCTTGCAAAGATCATCTTAAGAATAAGTTTTTTATTTCAAGTTTTTTCAAATGAGGCTAAAATTTAATTTAAACGTATGTAGGCTTCAATGAATTCTACCAAGACGATGACATTCTTCTTTCACGCTTTATCTTCAAGTCGGTATGATAGGTACTTTCGATAGGATGCGCCCCGTCATGTCGAGCTCTTCTTGTTCATTTACTTAAAAAATTTTAGTCGAATCCGCGATGAAGGTAGATTCAGTATGACCAGCTCCCGGACCATTTCTATTCGCCGAGCGCTACGACTACCATAACACCTTTATCGCAATGTCCTATGTGTATGCTGCTGTCCCACCAAGCAGCCGAACAGTCAAACAGGTATAAAGGCATTCATAGAAAGTATAATGCTAATGAAATCGGACATCCAAAATACCGAGCCACAAAAAACGCTGGAAATGGGCGAGTGGTGCTCCGGTGCTCGGCACTGCCCTTGTGGTACCCAAGTTGGAGAGGCCTGTGTTAAGCCATTGTCCTCTCAATGACCATACCAATTGAAAAAACCTCTGTGTGGTGGGGTAAGGGGCAGGGGGTGTTTAAATTCTGAGTCCTGTTGTTTAATAGAAATGAGTCGACGGGTGTGCTTAACTGATACACCCCCTCTCCTCTGATTTGTCCATGCTGTAACATAACGCTTCCGAAAAACCCAATGACCACCCACACAAGAAGATTACAACATAGAACAAACTCAGCGGTGCCAATCAGTGATGGTGTAAGACTTATCAACAGCGCATTTAGATGCAGAATTTCCAGTTACAGATTCAGTGCAACAGATGCATATATCAACTTTCAAGACTTTTTCCGCATCATCCAACAAAATGTGCTTGAGGTTATAGAAGAGAAGCTTCGAGTATATAGAGCGTTGAAAGTGAATATGTAGGTGTTTGGAAAATGTGTTACAGACCAAATATGTCGTGGATATCAAGTCATTCAATACAACCAACAAAGTAATAGATGTGGGAGTAGATCTACCTACTGTTTACAAGCATTTCACTGACGAGATTATATCACAGTCATCGGAGTTTGAAGAAAAGGATTCTGGTAAGTTATTTAGATAACAAATTCAAATCATGTAATTCTCATAATTAAGGTGATTGTTATTATCATTATTATTAAATTCAAGATACTAATAATCCTTTCATATCGTTTTCAGGATGGGCCATAGAAACTATTCTGTTTGCTGAAGTGAATATAAATAAGTTTTCACCATTTGGAGGATCATCTATATCCATTAATGTTTATGGGCTCGAAAAGATAATTAAGAACGCTACTTATGAAGTAGTAGGACCATTGAAATATAATTAAAAGAAGTTAAAATTTCATGTTAATCTGCTGTATTTAACCGATGATAAAGGAAACGGTTACTATTGTTGGATAAAGGATCTTTCACGATTAGTTTCACACCAGATAAACTTACATGGAGATAAGAAATATTTCTGTGATGGTTGCTTGTTACATTTTTCATCTGAAACGTTTCTTGAAGTCCATCAAAGAAATGATTGTGACCATGTTTACACAAAAACACCTACTGAGAAATTACGAACTGATAAATATGGTAAACAGGTTCCAGAAAACATAATTAAATTTGAAAATTTTGAAAGGCAAATGCCTGCAACTTTTGTTGTATATGCCGATTTTGAATCTCTATTAAAACCAATTGATAGTTGTGAAACAAATCCAGAACAGTCTTACATAATTGAAAGCCACATACATGAACCATATCCATTTTCATATTTAATCAAATCATCGCTTGATTCAGAGGTGGTAAAGTTTGCTTTGTATCGGGGTAAAGCCGCTTCTAAAACTCATTACGGGATTAGAAGCAGATTTGAAATTTGTTTATTTCAAATATATGAAGGATGTAATTCCAATAAATCCTTTAACATCGGATGAGCAAAATTAATTTGATGTATCTACAATTTGCAATATTTGTGAGAAACCATTTTCAGGAGAAGATATGAAAGTCCGCGATCATTGCCACATAACGGGTAAAGTCAGATCCGGTGCTGCACATTCCAAATGTAATTTAAATTTCAAGCTACCAAACTTCATACCTATTATTATGCATAATCTGAGTGGGTATGACTGTCATCTATTTATCAAACAATTATCTTCTCATGGAGATAATATAGATGTTGTAGTACAAAATAAGGAAAAGTATATCTCATTTTCAAAAAGCCTATACAGGGTGACTTCGAAGTTGAGTCATTTATTTTAACAGTGTGTAGATCTGATCAAAAGAAATGTTTTTTCCTTTAACATTTTTCTGGTAAAATTAAATTAACAAAGTTATAGCCCTTTAGAAGTTTGAGTACCGCCCTGTCTCAATAATAATATTATGTGCTCGTGTTTGGCAACAACGGATATAATCCGCCTTATCGGTTCATCGCATCGGAAACAAAAAAGCGAAAGAATTTGAAACGCATATCACGATGTTTTTAGTACAATTTTATTCAGTTGTATTCAGTCAATGTGTCAGTCGGTAACGCGTTAGTGTTTGTTGCGTGGCTCAAACGAAATAAAAAATGGCACATGTTTACGAAAATGCTGAACTTGTGGACATGATTCTTATTTCCTGGGGGGGGAGACTTTACAAAATGCTGCTGCGGCATCACGGATTTATGCGGATCGGTTTCCCAATCGAGTGCAACCAACCCCTCGTGCCTTTGTTAATGTAGTACAAAGGGCTCGTGAATCAGGTGACTTAAGACCTCACAGGGGAGGGCATGCCGGTGCTCCAAGACCGCACGATCAAATACAGGTCCGCACTGAAATACTTGTCGGGAGGATACTTTATAAAACAAGGTGACATTTTTTTTATTTTTACACACATATTTTGGTTTATCTTCCTTCTACAATCATTATCTGAAAATTAATGACTCAACTTCAAAGTATATGCATGATTATATCGAAAGTGGTACAATAAAAAAAAGTTCATAAAAATGAGGTTTATTGACAGTTGTCGCTTTTTACCGGGATCCTTACAGGCGTTATCAGAGAGTTTGGATGATGAGAATTTCATTGAGACTAAAAAGTACTTTACTGATCCAAGGGTGTTTAATATGATGAGACAGAAAGGCGTCTTTCCATACAGTTATCTTGATAATTCAAGGAAGTTGGAGCAGGAAATTCTTCTATCCAAAAGTGAGTTTTATGATAATTTGAATGACGAGGATATATCTGAAGCAGAGTATCAACGAGCAAAACCAATTTGGAAAACATTCACCTGTAAGAATCTAGGTGAGTACTCAGATGTTTATTTACGGACAGATGTCTTACTGTTATGTGATGTGTTTGAGAAGTTAAGAAAAAACAGTTTGAACATTTATAAGATTGATCCAGCGCACTATTATACGAGTCCATCATTATCCTGGGATGCGATGTTGAAGTTTACCCGTGTAAGTTTGACTCTTTTAACAGATATTGATATGTTTCATTTTTCAAAAAAGGTATTCGCGGTGGTATAAGTCAATGCAGTGATAGAATGCATGAGGCAAATAATAAATATTTACCAAACTACAATCCATCCAAAGAATCCACGTTCATAGCATATATCGATGTGAGAAACCTCTATGGTCACTCAATGTCATCGCTTCTTCCTACAGGAAATTTTGAATGGATGAATGAAGGGGAAATTTCCGCATCTGAATTAGAAAATGTGGAAGAACATGGCGAAGGCGGGTATGTTTTAGAAGTTGATGTGTGGTATCGCGAAAGCTTACATGATTCCCATAGCGACCTTCCATTTCTGGTAGAAAGAATGATCCCACCTAATGCTAAGACGAAAATTCCTAAATTAATACCAAACTTATACGATAAAACAAGTATGTTGTACATTATCGCGTGCTTCAATAAGCCATAAAGTATTGTTTGCAAGTAACCAAAATTCACAGGGTCCTCAAATTCAAGCAATCGTTATGGTTGAAAGGATATATGGACCTTAATACATCGATGAGGAATAAAACAAAAAATAAATTTGAGAGGGACTTTTATAAGTAACTTAATAATTGCATTTTTGGCAAATCTTTAGAGGACGTTTTCAACAGAAGAGTAATTAAACTTAAAAGCCATTGGGAAAATTTACGCAACGTCGATGTGCGCGCCTTAATAGGGCGTCCAAATTTCAAAAGTTGTTCCATATTTCACGAAAATTTAGCAGCAGTTCACTTAGGAACCCTGAAAGTGTGTTATTTCAAACCGATATATCTAGGATTTTGTATATTAGAATTATCAAAGATAGTAATGTATGAATTCTTCTACAGATTCCTAAAAGTCATTTAAATGATAAAATATCTATGTTATATTCTGACACTGATTCGCAATTACTAAAAATACACACAGAGATTTTCTATGAGTTCATTAGGAATCCTATCAATGAATTTGACACATCGAATCATTCGATCCTCGGTAAAATGAAGGATGAGTTTCCAGCGGATCCAATAATTAGCTTTTATGGGACGGGTGCAAAAGCTTATTATATTAGGTCAGTTAAAACTGAAATGAAACAGGAAAAGGGCGTTAAGAAATCCGTGATACAGAAGCAACTATCTGGGAATGACTATAAGAGAATAATCGAAGGAGGCGGGAGGTTTTTTTATACTCCAACTACCACGAAGGCCTAAGCACCCATTGGGTACAGCGGGGCTATAGGGGGATACATGGGAAAGGGGGAACGCCACACGGACTCTGGCGAGAGAACATGCATGCATGCAACATGCACACATTCTCGCTCCGCCTACGAGATCCGCCGGGTGGTACCTCCGCGTTCGACAGTCAGAGACCATCTTCCACCTACGGACAATCACAACAGCCATAGCCAAGAGAAAAATTTCTCCTGGGACGGGACTTGAACCCTCACAGCGCACGGCGACTGATCAGGAGACCGAAGAGTCTACTACTGCGGCCAGCGCTGCTGCCTGGGATATTGGGAAAGATGCATACTTTTAAAAACAAACTACATGATGTGTACACCGAGGTGAAAAATAAGGTTGCTCTAGCACATCATGACGATAAAAGGTTCATTATTTTTAACACCACAAAAACTTTACCTTGGGGATACTCTGACATTGAGTTTTACCAGACTGACCCATCGTTGAATGTTAAATATGATATAGGTGCAATCAATGATATTGCAGAAGGCGCTTTTCCTGAAAATGGTAATTTAGACTTATTAATAAAATTGTTAGAGGAAGTTTGTAAGTATTAGATTACTTACTTCTAGCTTGTACAGGTAAATAAAAGCAACATGTAGTAAGAAAATGTGTTTTATTTCACACTTACAAACAACATTTAAACTTGGGTGCCACAAGGGCGGCGCCGAACACCGGAGCACCGCTCGCCCATTTCCAGTTTGTTGTCGCTCGGTATTTTGGATGTCCGATTTCATTAGCATTATACTTTCTATGAATGCATTTATACCTGTTTGACTGTTCGGCTGCTTGGTGGGACAGCAGCATACACATTGGACATTGCGATAAAGGTTTTATGGTAGTCATAGCGCTCGGCGAATAGAAATGGTCCGGGAGCTGGTCACACTGAATCTACCTTCATCGCGGATTCGACTAAATTTACTAATAATATGTAGTTTTTAAGTAAATGAAAAAGAAGAGCTCGGTATGACGGGGCGCATCCTATCGAAAGTACCTATCATAAAGACTTGAAGTTAAAGCGTGAAAGAAGAATGACACCGTCTTGGTAGAATCCAATGAAGCCTACATACGTTTAAATTAAATTTTAGCCTCATTTGAAAAAACTTGAAATGAAAAACGCGCAGGTGATAAAATAGTGGTCATAAATTCGACGTAAACACATTTATTCTTAAGACGATCTTTGACAGCGTTTCGATTCAACAAATTTTCCAATATTTGGTACAATGATTTTAGCAGTGGAAATTCTGAGTATCGCCTCTAAGAACACATCTGACTATGATTACCTCTTCAGAACATTTAAGGGCTGACCTCAATTCATCAATCCGCACTCATCTTTCATCGCCAGTAATGCCGTCATAATCGGTAGAACGTTTGTCTACATAATGTCGGTGAATACTCGATGACTTAACGTTAACTATGCTATGACAAATTAAACATTGTGCATTCCATCAGTATTTACAAAAAAATAGGCTTCTTCCCATACAGGATTGAATGACAACGTTTAAAAAAATAAGCACGTTACGACCACTTTGTCTTGTCCTATTAAGAAATGGCCTGCGACCGGGGGATAGTCCGATAATATTTTGCTTTCTGTCGCGACGGTTGTGTGGACAAGGAAACAACACGTTTTCGATGCTAAGAGGATGGTCATTGAGAGGACTCAGAACTTAAACACCCCCGCCCCTTACCCCACCGCGCTACCATGGATTCCGTCGAGCTATTTACATGTACAGAGCTGGATTACGTTACAGCACAGAGGCATACAAGCCATTTGAACAACCATGATAAAGTTCAGGTACTCGCGCTGCTGCTCGTTCGCCCGGTCGATGAGTTATAGTAGTGGTGGGAGGGAGGTGGGGAGGGGGGTAGTGAGGGGAGAGGGGGTGTATCAATTACCCACACCCTTTCCGTCGGCTCATTTTTATTAAACAACACGTTTTCGATGCTATGAGGTTGGCATTGAGAAGATTCAGAATTTAAACACCCCCCCCCGCCCCTTACCCCACCACACAAACCACCCCTTCACCTCCTGCCCGAGAGGCTGAGATTCGGCCTCAATCATCTACTGATATTCACCATTTTCTTTTGTACAATCTTCAAAATGTGCTCTCGCTCGCTCTTCAAAAAGTTTTTTTAATTTTTTTGAGAAAATTAACTTCTGTCGGAATGTCGAAAAAAGCAGTCTAGCGGCCCATGTCCAACTGACAAAACTTCATATATTATTACATTATTAGATTTGTAGCCCAAGAATAACAGCTCTTTTCAACTAGGTGAAGTTTGTTAAAATCGGCTTAACCGTTTCGAAGATACAGGGTGTTTCTTACGGAAACATTTGAATACCCCTCACCACTTTATTTTTAGACACACAGCAAAAATTGTCAAACAAAAAATTTCATGTGTGCAGTCATTTCAGTTCATTTTGGAGCAACGGTCGTTGCAGATTTTAGTCGCATAAATAACGAGTAACATATCGCATATATATGTAGAGCGTACTATTCAAAAGATGAGAGAGAAAATGATCATGCGAAGAAAGATATATATCAAAAAATAGGAAAATAGTGGGCAAAATCCGCAAAAAGAATGAAAGTGGATTCGAGCAGAAAATAGGATAGGTAACCCGAACAATACGTATTTCTGCTTGTTGGCTTCATCAGGCCCGCAATGAATGCACATGTGCAACTACAAAAGTAGATACATATGCCCATATACCCGGATACGGGTGTAACTTGAGGAAACGAAGATGGAGAGGGAAAGAAAATGACACACGAAGTCACAAGCAAGAACCAACTTTCTCATTGTAGTATAAAATGGTTAGGAGACCTCGAATTTTCAAGGCAACATCTAACCACAACCACGCTGCCGGTTATAGCCACTTTCTGTGGTACTTCAAGCCCAAAGGATTTACAAAGAGAAGAGGATCATGCAGAAAAAATGTATACAACAAATAGAAAAATAGTGGACAAATTCCGCAAAAAGAAGGAAAGTGGATTGGAGCAGAAAATACAATAGGTAACCCGAGTGATACGTATTGTTTGTACGTGTCTACGGTTGTTTGTAACTTCGTGTGTCATTTCCCTGTCCATCTTCGTTTCCTCAGGTTACAACCGTACCCGAATGTATGGGTATATGTATCTTCTTTTGTAGTTGCATAAATGTCTGATGAAGCCACCAAGCAGAAAAACGTATCGCTCGGGTTACCTATCCTATTTTCTGCTCGAATTCACTCTCATTTTTGGCGGAATTCGCCTATTATTTTTCTACTATGTGTATATATATAATGAAAATAACAGGGGTCCTAACACAGATCCTTGTGGTACACCAGGACAAATTGTTTGTACGGTAGAGTACTGTTGATTTAAACTTTTTCAAACCGATTTTCAAGGTAGGTTTGAATAAACGAAAGAGCGTTTTCAGAAATTCATAATAACTGCATTTAGACACAAAAAGTAAATGATTAATTATGTCGGATGCTTTAGTAAAGTCATGAACTATGAGAGCTACTACTTTTTGGGTGTCAAGCGCCATTGTTATATTGTCTGTTAAATTACAGTGCTGAAGCTGTATTATGACCTTATCGAAATCCAGATTGTTTAGACAGAATAATTTTGTTAGAAGTAGACGCAAAGCTGCTCGTAAACAAGGCGCTCCAATCTTTTTGAGAAAATGGGCAGTACACAGATCGGTCTCAGTTGAGCATAGTGTAGGATCAGAACACTTGGGTAGCGGAACAACTATGTCGTGTTTCCAGTGATCTGGGAAATATCCCCTCTCTAAACAGCAGTCGATTATATGTGTTAAGTACACAACAATTTCAGATATACTCGTACATAGTAGTATCATATGCAAAGTTATCCCATCTGAAACAATAGAATTTGCTTATATTTTATGAATGATTTTAACAACGGGGTCAATATTCACTTTACTAAATTGAAATTCGGAGTTTGAGTTATCGTTATTCGCTCGGTATTATGCAATTTTATCAGCACACTTCAAGTCACTGTTCTCAAAAATTGAAATATATGCCGCATTTATTTTGTGCAGATCTGATAAACTCATGGGAATTGTAGAATCTTTCTGAGACTGCACTTTGAAAGTGTTTAGGATTTTATAAAACTTTTTTATATCTTGATTTTGAACATCTTGTAAATAATCTCTTTCTCATTTCCGCGCGAGTGTTAATGCACGATTTCTGAAATACGAGTATGTACGAGTATACTGTTGCCAAGAAGCGGCTGTACGAACACGTTTCAACTTTGACAAAGCTTCAGCTCTCTGTTTATTATATGGTGGTTGGTCACTTTGTGCAAGGCGTTGGAAGTACGATTGCTAACACTACATAAAATAAACTCTCGTCGTTTGGTCAAGCGTTGCAAAATAAATGACAAATAGCGTTTAGCTTAAAATATTTTTGCTCGGGAATTCCAGGTCTTTATCTTGCTTGCATTTTTTATAAGTAAATTGAACTACTGCGCATAAGATAGCAGCAAAACCTGAAAATTCATCAAATGGAGCTTGGTCAAGTTATGTAAAGGGTGTCCCATAATTAACGCAAGATTTGAATTTGGCGCCATGTTTGCAGTAAATTGTAGGCAGCCCTGAAAAAGAACAATTTGACAACTGAGAGGTAAGTGTTAGTAAAATTGGAGCGTTATACGATACAACAACGTGTTTTCATTATAGAACAGTATTTCAAAAAGAATGAAAGTTTAGCATCTGCAGTTCGAAAATTTTATACAAAATATAGCCGGAATAGTGTTTTAAACTCGTAAGGTAAGTTGAAAAATTCAGTGAAACTGGATGAGTCGGAGACGCTAAACACACCGGTCGTCCAAAAACAAGCAATTCAAATGTCCATGTCGAAGCAGAGCGTGGATTGGATTATTGAACATCAACAAGTGGATGATGAGTTTTCGAGCAAAACCATCCTTGATGGCTTGGTTGATCTCCAAAATTGCCGTATTTAGGGTTCGAAGAACCCATTTGAGATTGTACAAAAACAAAATGCACCCACAATGTGTCAGTATCTGGTGCGGATTTTGGGCTGGAGGCATCATTGGACCATACTTTTTTGAGAATGAGGCTGGTCAAGCAACAACTGTTACTGACACTCCATATCGCGACATGATAACACAGTTATTTCTGAAGAAATTGGATGCTATGGATGTGTACAATATGTGGTTTCAGCAAGACGGTGCCACATGTCATACAGCCAGTGAAACAAGTCAATCACTGCCTGAGACCTTTCCTGGTCGTGTACTTTCCCGTTTCGGTGATCAGAATTGGCCCCCTTTTTCGTGTGATTTACAACATGTCAACAAGCTCACAACCACCCGTGTATTATATGAGGAAATTCATGCATCAACGAAATTCAGCCACCATTATGCAGAAAGGTCATCAAAAATTTCTATAGGAGTGCGTATGTGCTAGCAAAGCCGTGGAGGCCATTTTTCAGATGTGATTTCCATACATAACCCTATCCTAAGTACTTTATGGTGGGTGTAAATCCTGAACTTAAAGACAAGATATATAATACCGCTTTTTGGCCCAAGGGTGTTGCATTTGGAAGGTTTAACTTTGGGTTGGGTAGAAATTTTTTAGACAGATGTCATACAGGGTAACTAATGTACACTGCGACCACCAAACACCCTCCACATGGGAAACTGATTCTGGCAGCCAGGGCTCTGAGAGTCATTGTATATCTGTTATGCACCTGAACGTACAAAGTATAAATAACAAAATTTTGGAAATAAAAGTTCTGCTTGCAGAAAAGAAACCAGACATTTTTTGTGTCTCAGAGCATTGGCTGCAGCGAAATGATATAAACTCTGTAGTTTTAGACAATTATCTGCCCATCAGCCATTCATCACGAACAGAATTCCGTGGCGGAGGCACAGCAATTTTTGTAAACTCAGACCTTACCGTTGAAAGCTTAACGGCTAACACTGAGTGTATTGAAAAACACTGTGAGTATTGCATTTCACAATTTACATTAAATAATAAACATTATATTGTGATTTGTATATATAGGTCACCTACAGGGAATTTAGATTTATTTCTATCTACGCTTGATGAAGTTTTAAATTATGTGTATGCCCCAAATAAATATCTGCTGGTTTGCGGGGATTTTAATGTAGATTTCTTAGTTCATTATGATGGAGTTTTTTCTGTGACACAGCTTATGGCCAGTTATGGACTAGTGTCCCACGTGAAAGGCATAACGAGGATAGGTCCCACTCGGGGCACTCAGCTTGATAATATGTTTAGCAATATACCTGATACACAATGTAGCATTATAAAAATAAATATATCAGACCATTATGGTCAGAGCCTTAATTTTACATTAAATAGCAAGGTTCCTATCATCAATTATGCAAGGAAACGTTTTTTCGCGGCTTCCAACATCCAGCGCTTCAAAGATCTGCTGAGCTCCGAGACCTGGAATGATGTATATGGTTCAGTTGGGGTTGAGGAGAAATATCAAACCTTCTTTAACGTACTATTTCATTATTTTGACATTTCTTTTCCATTATGTACCTATCGATTAAAATTCAAAGAACAAAACTGGGTAAATGAGGAGATAAAAGCATACTCTAATTATATAAAAGATTTGTATGTTTGGTCTAAGATTACACATAGCCCTAGAGTATATAATCAGTATAAAATTGTACGACAAGAATACCGGAAATTTCTGTCGAATTACAAAATAGCTCTAAATGAAAGTAAAATATTAAACTCAAAAAACATGACAAAAACTGCGTGGAGTATTTTAAATGCAGAAACTAATACAAAAATTAAGCGTTCCATTGAGCTAAAACTTAATAATGATGTAATAATAAAAGATCCCCAAAAAACTGCTGATGCCTTTCAGGAAAGGTTTGATATCTCTCCACAATCCCATGGCAGTCTTGATATTTCGGAAGCTAGTGCGATTCCCACTTTATTTTTGCTTCCTGTTGACAATAGAGAAATTAAACTAACTTTGGCGAGTTTGCCAAACAAATTTTCAGCTGGTTTGGATGAAATCCCGGTGGTAGTTCTAAAGCAGATATCTGACTATATATGCGAACCGTTAGCTTATATTATTAATGAATGTCTGTTTACAGGAATTTTTCCGTCACATTTAAAGAGGGCCAAACTGGTTCCCATTTACAAAAAAGGAGATGTGCATGACATAGATAATTATCGACTAGTCTCACTGTTATCTTCTGTGTCAAAGGTCTTCGAAAAAGTCATATATTCAAGGATAATGAACTTTATCAAGAAATACAACATTTTAACAAGAAATCAATTTGGCTTTCGGCCAAATCATTCCACACAACTAGCACTATTTAAAGTTCTTACTTATATTGTTGAAAATGTGGATAAGAATGAAAAAGTGGCCGGTCTGTTTTTTGATCTGTTTAAGGCCTTCGACACCATAGACCATCAAATACTCCTTAAAATTCTGTCTAAACATGGAATACGAGGTAAATGTGCACAGCTTATAGAGTCATACCTTGACAGTAGGGAGCAGCTTGTCTGTATAACCCAAAATGGTGTTAGGCATTTTTCATCAGTTACCTTGATTAAACAGGGTGTGCCGCAGGGATCAATTCTGGGACCGTTGTTGTTCCTGCTCTATGTGAATGGTCTTAGTGACAGATTTATGGAAGGTCTGATTTGCCAGTATGCGGACGACACTACTGTTGTGCTGACTGCGTCGGACATGTCTGGCTTGTCCGGGGTCTGTTCTTGTGCAGTGGGGACCATGCAGGATTGGTGCAAGGATTATGCATTAAGATTGAATGCTGATAAAACTGGACTTCTCACGTTCAGTAAATCATCTGCCAGGGATGAGTCGCTGTTGGTTCGTTGCAATAGCGGACCAATACCAGAGATGACCGATATAAAGTTTCTGGGCATTTACCTGGATTCGAGTCTGAATTGGGATTGTCAAACATTTGTTTTGGTTGGTAAGCTCCACAGCTTCTGTGCGTTGGTGCGGCGGCTGCGAAATGAGGTTTCCTTGAACACTTTACGGCAATTTTATTATTCATCTGTACAGTCATTGTTAACTTATAGTATAATGTTCTGGGGCTCTTCGCGGGGTGCCATGTCAGTTTTTATAGCGCAAAAGCGCATCCTGAGGTGCATTTTGAGACTTCATCCTCGAACATCATGTCGGGAACATTTTTCAAGATTGGGATTCTTGACGGTTCCATCACTATATTTTTTGGCACTTGTTTTATTTGTTAAAAAGCATATGTATCTTTTTAATAGTAACGCACATTATTATGCTAAAAGTATGACCGTTGTGACCAGAGGCAGAGAAAATCTGAGTGTGCCTGCACATTCGTCCGCATTTTTTAAGAGGGCTCCATTATACATGGCTGTCAAAACTTTCAATATGCTTCCTATAGATATAAAATCCGAGAGCAAGCCTATTAGGTTTAAAAGAGCGGTGAAAAAGTTTTTGCTGGACAGATGTTTGTACAGCTTTGATTTTAACATTTGAGCTCCATTATTTTATTTTAATAACATTTTAAGCTAAGTTGTGACATACTGGACTTTTATTTGTCATTTTAATAGTTTTTAATATTGTAAACATACATATAATATCCCGTTGGTATTGTACTACATTTTTTTTTGACGTTGCTTATGTTTTTTTCTTTAAAATTTTGCTGGCAATAAAGAATATTATTATTATTATTATTATTATTATAGTTAATAAAAAATAACAATACAAATACTTAAAACTGTTTTCTATTCAATTCAAAACTTTGCGTTAATGTTGGGACACCCTATATAACGCGGTCCATGTGTAGCTTACTTGAATTACACCTTACCTTCTTTGATCTCTGGTGGAAGCTTATCCTTCACATCTTTTCGATTGTTTGGAACTTTTGGAACTCTTACTATTTTCTGGTGAACATAACGTTTTCTCGGGCTTGCAGCCATTTCTTGCATTTTTTCGTCAAAACTGCTTTCAACTCTATGAGAATTTTTAACTATATCAAGTGTATTGAAATCTATAGCATCTAGACTATTTGTCAGCAATTCATCCTCTACATTCCTGTTTGCCTTGTTTTCTTGACACTTATTTAGCATATTTTTTTCCAACAGTTGAGATGATTTTAGAGTATTTTCTATGACATTTTTTAAACTTAAGGATTCTGTTTGTAGAATAGCATCTTTTTTAAATGTTTCAAATGTTTGTACAGAACACATCTTCTTTAAAACCTCTCCTGTTTGAACTGCTTCATCATATGTTTGTAACCTCGTTTCCACAAAGACATCTCGCTTAGAAACTGGACTTGTTTGAACAGACGTATGAACAACATTATTATTTTTTAATCTGTCTACATATGCTTTAATTTTATCTATTGCATTAAGAGCACCTTCCAAATCAACTTCCTTTAAACACGTTTGAACGTATTCAGATATAAAATCCAGTAATTTTTTCACAGGTTCGCAAAACTTAGAATCACAAACAGCGGTAATTTTTTGCGTGGGAATGTCATAGTCACCAAAAGATTCATCGTCTTCATTTTGTAATGCCGTCACATCTTTTGTAACAGATCCATCAGGAGTATTTTTATGATTTGGCAAGATAGTTGCATGGTGAATGTTTTGGTCAGCCATGCCAATCGAGGTTTGGATTGCTTTAGTATTATCTGTCTGAGTATTATTCCGACTGCTAATATAATCTGACTTATGTTGGAGTTTATATAAAGGGCTCTTGCAGATCTTTTTATTGGCCACTTTATCTTTTTCATTTATAGGAGAAGTAGTGTTGGCGGATTCACCATGAACATAAGGTAGTGTAGATTTATTTTCAGTTGCAGCATCAGTTTCAACAATCTGCCTCTTGCTCAACGTATTTGCTGGTATATCAGCATATAATGACTTTGGTGTTGCAACGTTTTCAGAACTCTGTATTTCTGGAAGTATGTCCTTATTAAGCTTTGGACTTTGCTGTTGTTTGGCAGCTTCAGTTGGGCTTTGATCCTAGAAAAGAGCAAAAAAATTTACATGAACTAAACTATTGGTATAAATATTCCATATTGAACATAATGTAAGGAATAATTCATCGAGTAAGCACTTGCAAAAATTAAAAATCAATAGGAGTCAAAGGCAAAAATGCGGATCTATTAACGTCCTACTTGGGTAGCAGGGTACAACAGGTAAGGCTGAACGGAAAGCTGTCAAAAGTTAAAAATGTCAGTCGAGAAGTTCTTCAAGGATCAATCCTTGGACCTCTGGTATTTACATTATATACTAGTCAAATTACAAAACACCTTGGATTCTGTTCATTGCGCTCACTCAGTTGAACATCAAATTTCCTGATACAAACTGGATTGAAGCTCAAGTTAAAATAAATAAAGATTTGGAAACCTTAGCACATTTATCTGCAGACCACAAACTTCTCATAAATCCAAATGAATCTTCTGTTGGGGTATTCGGAAAGAATCATAACTATATTAGTGATAATCTATAAAAATTAAAAATAATAAATGATAAATTGAAGTCTGCTAAAAATCTAGGACTCATAATTGATAATGACTTACGATTCAAACAACATATTAGTAAATGTATTCAAAGGGCTAACTCTTCCATAAAACTTGTATATCCCCATACAACCTATATCAGCATAGAACCTATCTTATCATTATGTGAAACTAAAATATTACTTTGTACAGGGTGGCCAACTAAGAATGCGAGGCACTGTATCTAGGAACATAAGTAATTTCAAGTTTCTGAAATGGCCGCTAGGAGGCGTAACTGCAATCTTGGATCTAAAAAAGTGATGTTTCTTTGAATTCCGCTTTATTAACCTAAAAAAATACCAGGGTGTTTTTACGGAAACATTTGAAGACCCCTCACCACTTTATTTTTAGAGATACAGCAAAAATTGTCAAACAAAGTAAACATTATCCTCGACTTCAAAGATCATGCATTTTTTTGTTAGGTTAATATAGCAGAATTCACAGAAACATCACTCTTTTAGATTCAAGATTGCAGTTGCACCTCCTAGCGGCCATTTCAGAAACTTGAAAATGTTTTCCATAACCATTTTAGTCATAACTCTTTTGCCGCAAGCCTCTACGATAGATAGGTTCCCACATACAGTACCTCGTATTCTTCTTTTCCTGTCCGAAGTGTGAGATTCTCAGCCGTTCGCCACACATCCCACCACGGCACTGCTTGCAGTATTTCTTCATAGTGGGTATCATTGCGCTACGTGCTCATACCTAAGGTATTAGTCATCTATTCTCTATCGTACACGTACATACTTTTATACCTACGTACATGTAAAACCCAGCAAAATAGAAACCTCCTATTGGTTCCTTGGTCTATTTTTGTTCTCCCGTACCTTACTCGGCATCATTCGCCTCACTAATGGTTGAATATCAATCTATTTTTCCTCGCGTATATGCATGGAAAAATTGTCAAGACTGCTTCTGCCATCTAACAGAAAGCGACTGACTATATGTCGTCACTTATAGCTTCGACGCCCTTTTTATAGAGTGCAAATCTCTCCGCAACCAGCAAATCAATTGGCGGGATACCAGCAATTAGTTCAAAACACTTGTACATGTTTTATCTTTATACACTTGTACATGTTTTATCTTTATTATACCCAAATATGAGAGCCTCAGCCATAAATTACCCTTGCATAGGCTGTCACAATATGCTTTTACCATAAAATTCTGTCCACCAAGAACCCACCTTACTTATACAATAAAGTGAAATTCAGAAGAGCAGTACGTGCTGTCAACATTCATACCAAAGATAATATTTCGGCTCCTTAAAACGTTAGTATACCAAAGAAGCTCCAAATATATAAACCCTACAACTCCATCCCTAGATACCTCAAACAAGATGTATCTACATTTAAGAAAGCTGTGAGTAAAATGTATTTAGATGTATGTGATTAATTGGTCATGTACTGTTGCGCTCCATGCTGTATATACAGAGCCCAACGAAAATGACGCACATCTGGTATATTTTGGGAAAAACGCTCGGACACGTCAATTTTGATTTCTAGGCGAACGTCTTTTCATCCATAGCCGTACAATACAGGATAATCAGAAAATGAGATATTGCGTTACAGTTTAGATTTGTAAATGGAAACCACCATTTTTTATTTAATTTTTAGATTCTCCATGGAGTTTTTAGGAACTTTTGTATAATAAAGTTTATACCTATCTTCAATCGTTGTGAAGCTATTTGAATTTATAACAAAATTCTAGAAATTGTGATAAGGGAATCGTAAAAATAATAACCAATATAGTTCCCATAGTAACAAGACTTTACTTTAAAATTAAAAACCAGTCTCCGAGTATTAAAAAAAACAATCTACAGTTTACACGCACATAAAGTTGAAGTAAAAATTAACTTGCTATAAAGAGGTAGGTCAATGTAGGAGTAAGTGCTGACAGTGGTGTTCATTTACCTTCATGCAATAATAAGGATTTTGTTCGAATCTATTCCTCACATTTTCAAGCATGTCTTGAGTTATTTGCCTACATTCAACCGGAATCCAATAACGAAGATTTTCAATGGAGTCTGGTTTCTTACTAAAAAATTTACTTTTCAAATGCCCCCAGAGAACGTAATCTAAATGAGTTAGGTCCGGAGATCTCGGCGGCCACTCGATGCGGCCGCGACTGCCGATACACTGATCAGGGAAATGGGTGTCCAAAAACTGTCCTAGTGCGACGGTGCACCATCTTGTTGGAAATGCATGCAATTTTAATTAGTATTAACGTCATTTTCTATTATTTCGGTAATCCGTGGCTCTATTTTGTAACAGGTCCAAGTACGTCTCGCCCGTCAAGTTTCCAGGAATAAAGAAAGGTCCTACAATATGATTTCCAAAAATGCCGGCCCACACATTTATGTTTGCAGTAATTGCGAGTTTACCTCTCGAAACAAATATGGATTCAATTCAGTCCAATATCGACAATTATGTCTATTTACAGCGCAATGTAAATAAAACGTACACTCATCTGAGAAACTATTTAATATTAAATAACTGATTTGCATTGTTTATTAAACGTTGGGACATCAATTCGCAAGATACAACCTTCTATCAAAGTCGTCTTCATTAAGCTCATGGACAAGTTTTATCTTGTACGGGTCTTTCAAAATGCTCTCAAGTGTTGAGCGTGTAAATCCTGAAGAAGTAGCCAGTCCACGAGTGCTTTGGTTTGGGTGTTGTCAAGTGCTACGTGTCCCCAAACCGCTATTACTACGGCTTCATTTCTAACTGGTCTATTTTCTCGATGGCAATGCTCCCATTTTGGTAATACAGTTTTTTTGTTTCTACCCTTCCAGGGATTGAATAAGTCTTGTACAATATTCATCACACTAGGTAGCTAACTTAACAATTTGAAATGAAAGTCAAATCTTTTCTATGACATACCGTGACACTGACTGGTGCTAAATGTTCTTGCTGGTATCCATGATTATTATTTTTTGTCGTGCATTCCATTATTATCAGTATCAAGTTAAGGTAGTCGAATTTTAATATAAACTCAAATAGCTTCACAACGATTGAAGATAGATATAAAATTTATTATACAAAAGTTACTAAAAACTTCATGGCAAATAAAAAAATCATTGTTTAGTACATGGTGAGTTCCCATCAAAATTAAAGTGTTCCACCATTACTCCTGTACCAAAAGTTCAAAATTCTCAGCTGTATACAAATATGCAACCGATTAATGTCTTGCCCGATGTCGGGAAGCTGTTCGAAGGGATAATATACAAAAAAATCATAGAATTCATTGAAGAAACCAAAATTTTGACAAATAATCAAGAAAAAAATGTTCCACAGAAACAGCAATAGAAATGGTGGTAGAAGACTGAAGAAGAAGTATAGATGAGAAAGAATATATTGTAACAGTATTTTTAGACTTAAGGGCATTTGAGACTATAGACAGGGAAAAATTGTTAATGAAATTTCGTCACTATGGCTTTAAAGGATCAGTATTACACATTTTACAAAATTATTTAGTAAATAGAAGTCAAGTTGGAAATATTATGTGAAGTGTTCAAAATATATCAGTAGGGGTGCCGCAGGGGAGTAAATTAGGGCCATTACTATTTATTATTTATATAAATGATATCTCTGACATTTTAGAACACTGCAAAATTCAAATATTTGCGGACGATATATATACAGGGTGACTTTGAAGTTGAGTCATTAATTTTCAGATAATGATTGTAGAAGGAAGATAAACCAAAATATATGTGTAAAAATAAAAAAAAAATAAAAAAATTTTTTTAACTTGTTTTATAAAGTATCCTCCCGATAAGTATTTCAGTGCGGACCTGTATTTGATCGTGAGGTCCCCTGTGAGGTCTTAAGTCACCTGATTCACGAGCCCGTTGTACTACATTAACAAAGGCACGAGGGGTTGGTTGCACTCGATTGGGAAACCGATCCGCATAAACATGTGCCATTTTTTATTTCGTTTGAGCCACGCAACAGACACTATTCACACGCGTTACCGACTGACACTGACTGTATGTATAACTGAACTGAATTAAATAATGGGAAAAACATCGTTCCAAATTCTTTCGCTTTTTTGTTTCCGATGCGATGAACCGATAAGACGGATTATATCCGTTGTTGCCAAACACGAGCACATGATATTATTATTGAGACAGGGCGGTACTCAAACTTCCAAAGGGCTATAACTTTGTTACTTTAATTTTACCAGAAAAATGGTAAAGGAAAAAACATTTCTTTTGATCAGATCTACTCACTGTTAAAATAAATGACTCAACTTCGAAGTCACCCTGTATATATATATATATATATATATAGCACATAAGCATTTGAAAATTATGAATTGGTTAAATGTCAATAAACCTAAATTAAACACTAATAAAACAAAATGTATGTCAATAGGGAAACATACAGGTGACAATACAATTAGACTCATGATTAATTATGAAAAAATTGAAGTAGTCGAATCATTTAAAAACCTATCTTGGTATATATGTGGATAGTAAGCTACTGTTTCACGACAATATGAATATATACTCAAATAGCTTCACAACGATTGAAGATAGATATAAAATTTATTATGCAAAAGTTACTAAAAAATTCATGGCAAATCTAAAAATTAAAAAATGAGGTTTCCATTTAAAAATCTAAAGTGCAACGCAATATCTTATTTTTGGATCACCCTGTATTGTACGGCTATAGATGAACAGACGTCCCCCTAGAAATCAAAATTTACGTGTCCGAGCGATTTTCCCAACATATACCAGGAGAATCACAAATGGGGGTGCGTCCTATCCGTTGGACCACCCTTATTAGTATAGCTGTAATAAAAGGTGGTTGAGGGTGTTCATTTCAAAACTTCCCACCACAAATTTATCGAAAACCAATCATTAAAAGGAAAAACGCCGAGACACGTCAAAATATTTGTCAATGGGGACAACTTTTTAACTAAAGACTACTTCACCCCCTTTCACCCTCGGCCGCCCAGGGTCATTCCCTTAAAAATTTCAAATGACAAGGGGTATCGAGTAATACCTTGTTTGAAAGGTCTTTTGAGGTCCTTTATTTTCACGTTAGATTTTTTAAAATCAGTCGATTCGTTTTTGAGAAAATTTATTTTTCTCAATTTGTTCCGATAGAAAACAAAAACATACGAAAATATAACTTTTTATTGCAATAAGTGTTCAAAATGTTGACCGGTGGGTTTGCCAAAGCTACAATTCGCTTATAATTTAAAACGGAAACCACCAACATAAACAGCAATTCGGGAGATTAGACGTGGCAACAACCCGAATTTTTTTCTGCATTCTTTTCATCAACACAGATACCCTGGGCGAACTGTATTTATTGTTGTACCTGTTTAGTTATTTGTTGCTAAGGGAAGGAAATAATTTAATTTGCTGCCAGTTACCCTTGTGACAATCTTGGGATAGTGAATATTAATTTATTGATTCAGATTTTACTTCCAAAATGGTTTACACACTAGCCGAAAAAGTGGAAATGATGCCCAAAGTTAATATGCTCGGCAAACTGCCGTCACGTTTAACGCCAGACATCCGGGAAACATAACGTCGTATAGGTATGTTTTGGACCTTGTTACTAAATTTAGTCAAACTGGATCTGATGCAAATAAAAAACGTGATCATCGGAGAGTTTTGGATGAAGCCGCCCAACTTGAAGTCATTTTGTAATAAATCCTAATACTTCATTACGCAAAATTGTTGCTGCGATAAGTATTTCATTAGGCTCTGTACACACAGTTACTAAACTCCATATTGGAGCAATGAAAATCCTCATGCTTTGATAGAAGGGCATAGCCCTCCCTTGACAAATCTTTTGACGTGTCTCAGCGTTTTTTCTTTTAACCAGTGGTTTTCGATAAATCCGTGGTGGGAAGTTTTCAAATGAACACCCACCCTGTATATGGACCCGTTTTCATGCAAGCGCGGCTTGTAATTCAATTAGATATCTTCTGGCGGAATATGTTAATCAATGGTAATACTTATGGTAACAAACTGTGTGGTGTTTACAAGCAATTAACAGTAGCTTACCTTATACTGTTGGAAATCTACCATTTCATTATTTCTAGGGCTAGTCTTTTCCACATTCTGTAATTTGATGTTGAGTTGCTTTGGCACTTTTCCACCTTTATCAGCTGTTTCTTTGATTTCTGTTATCCTATTCCATCCACTGTTACAAGATGAAAGGCTTACTCCAGCAATACCTGTATTTTTTTCTTTAACTTCATTGTTCTCAGGAGCAACCATCTCATACTCTAGTTTGTTTAAATACTCATCTTCCAAGATATGAAGAATAACATTTTGCTGGGCCTTCTCCACTAATTTTTCTTCCAAAATTAGTCCTTCAGTATTTGGGTTCTCGATGTTATAGTTGTCAGGCTCCATAACATGGCCATCAGAGTATCTTTTTGATGTTACAGGTCTCTTTTCTTTCTCAAAATCTAATGATCTAACTCGCCTGCGTTTCTTTACTCTTTTATTTGGTTGTGAAACTGAAGGCAAGTCGATACCTTGTTCGTCATGTGAGGGTTCCATCATCTGTGTTTGTGTTAATCTGTCAAAATGGTTTCTGGTATCATTTAGCCAATTCAAGACAGCTTGTTTAGTTTCATCGTCATCAAAGTCCAAAACCCTATATTCATCTTCAGTCTTTTTGTTTATTTTTTGTTTGTTTGTATATATAGTTTTAGTACCTTTTTTATTAAGTCTCATAGTGTTGCTTGTTCCTAAAATTTTATCAAACAGGTCATCTTCACTGCTATTCTGGCTATTTTTCGGAATATTATCGATTTTCAAATTTGTTTTCAAATATTCGGCTGGTTTTGCTTGTCGCACTGGAAGCTTCCTTACAATGACATTTTCTTTGTTTGGTTTATTGCTTTCTCTATGATTAATTGCTTTAGGAACATCTTTTGAGACCCTAGCCGTTAAATTTGATTCATCTATCTGTGGTGCGTCAGCAAGTGCTTCAACTAAAATATAAATTTCGATTAACAAAATCACAATACTCCAGGCGTATTATGTTTTGAGGCGGATATTTCCTGATGTATAGATAGTTTCACAGTATTACATGAAGTAAGTGAACAAATTATCTAACTTTACCATTGCGGAGCTCATCTTCCTGACGGGTAATTGCACACTGAGTAAACCGATTCTTATAGCGCAGCTGCTACTTGCGATAGCACGAAGTATTCATTAAATATATTTTCAATATTTAATAATATTTTATCTTAAAAAATATTTAATAAATATTTTTATTATAATATTTCTACTAATATTTAATCAATGTCTTTTATATATTTTAAATACAATATTTATTTCATAATATTCATTAAATATTTACTTATCTAGCAATTAAAACTCCATTATTTAGAAAATAATCGATAAATATCTTTTACAGTTATTAGATACGTGATATTTTTTCACAGTATATTATGAAAATTTATTTTTTAATCAATGGAAAATGTTTCTTATCTTGCTGTAAATGTCTCATTGTTAAGTTTTGTATTGACTATTTTAATGCCGCGCCAGTGACGTTCCGTGACAGCATCTGTCAATTCTAGTGCCTTTCAGTTTTGTTTGGTGACATTTCCAGTAACTTTGGTTACCTTTGATTTGTATAAACCCTTTTTGATTTACAAAAAAAGTCGTTTGCTTAGCCGCTAAGTGCCACAGAAATCATGTCAAATTTTATTCAATAAAGATATTGAAAATGAACCAGCTGCATTCGTAGACGTTGAATCCTTGGGAGAAGTTCGAACAAGTTCAACGCCAATCAACAGTATTATATACCCCTTATTCACAAAATATTCAACAAATAATTGAAAAAGTGCTCAATTTAAATTTAACGAGCCGCGGTTGTGGGGACTTTTGAGATATCCATGGATACCCTATCACCATAATAATAGTTTTTTTTTGCAGCGGGTGTACCTAAGCAAGTGTTAAGACATATTTGTTTATATTTATAGGATTCATACAGCATATATGTATATTCTTGATTACATGGGGATTGAAACAGCCTTTTTACAGCAGATAGTAGGAATCCGATAACGCCAAATTTCAAATCTCTAACACGTCTTATGTAAATATGGTACATCCATCTAGTGAGCTTTTTTCGTACTGATATGAATCCACCGTTGTCTCTTTTGCCTGTATGTTTGGCAGTGACAGCGTATCCTGTGCACCTCTAAGTAGTACATTATTTGAGTGTTTTTTTTTTATGGAAAAGGGGAAATAATTACTAAGCTTAATTTATCAGACTAGTAAACATTATTGTAAAAACACTAATAAATTTCACACTGACTGCTATGTTTTATATAAAGATCAACAAAAGATTAACTCGAACCGTACGCCGATGACGACCAAATTCCCAAGTATATTAGACAATATAAAAAAAACGTATATCTGAACTTGCACAAACAAACGTTCATGCTTAGCGGTAGATTGCATAATGTATGTCTGTATGTGATTTTTAATTACTACACGAATTACTTTCACATTATCCATTTCTCTAAAATATGCACATGCAATCAGCCTCTACAGGGTGTTAAAAAAATAGACGGATATTTTAGAGGGTGATTCCTTGTAAGAAATATGAAAAAAGATTCTATAAACATGGGTCCGGGAATGCAGAGTTTTCAAGATACAGGGTGATAAATTTGAAAAAAATATTAATGTGGCGTCCCGGGGTGGTACCTTAGCGAATATTATTGGCAAAAAAATGTACGCCACTGCCTTTTTTGTAACTTTAATATTTGTTGTTTGATTAAGACTATAAAAGTACAACTTCTTTTGGTAAAAAATCACAAGTGCCTTGTAAAAAAAAACGAGTTTTCCCCAGCTTTTCAATGGTGACACTGACCTTGACCATGACCTTCGAGGTCATTTTTTAAATCGAATTCCCCATTTTGACCCCGTAAATGTGAACAGCGGAAAATTTTACGTTCAGATATGGTCTTGATCATTCTAAAATTTTGACCTTAGGAGGTCATGGTCAAGGTCAAGCCTAGGTGCGGTGATATAACTTGAAAACCACTAGTCGTATAGGGAAACTACCGAAACATTATTTTCATGATTTTTCCCCAGATGTCCAAAGGAGACTTTAGATCTGACCTTAACCATGATATCTTCGCACTAAGAATGGTCAAGGCCATATTTGCACGAAAAAAATTTCGTTCTTTTCATGTACGGTGTCAAAAATGGTGGTTCCATTAAAAAAATCGACTTGACCTTAAAGGTCATGTGAAGGTCAAGTCGATTTTTGTAGCCAGGGAACCATCCTGAAAGAGCAGTGAAGTCAGGTTATCTGGGGAATTAGCAGTTTTCCGAATTATCAAGAAATTGAGGTAAACTACTGAAAATTTTCAGTAACCCAAAGTGAAAATGATTGGATACAATATACAAAATCAAGAAATGAGTGTGTAGCAGTTCTCAGAAGGGAAAAGAAAAGATACTATGATAAGAAGATCGATAGCAATAAAAATGATTCTAAAATGATGTGGAAAACATTAAAGAATATTGTTCCTCCTAATAGAAGGACTGAATTATTTAAAATGCGTTTCGAAGATGGGGTAGTGACAAACAAATTAATTATAGCAGAAAGAATGAACACTTATAGAAAGTGTAAATGAAATAGTGAAGACGACTGATGACGGTGATCCAAACTTATGTCCATTACAAGTATTTCAGAGTTCATCAATGAAGCAATTTAGGACAATTAACATCAACAATCTAAGAAAAGCTATCTCAAAATTGAAATCTAATAAAAATTCAAGTGAGAATCTCTCAAAAAATATTCTAAATGATTGTTTCGATATAATTAGAAGAAATTATTATTATTGGTGAATCATTGTTTAGCACATGGTGAGTTCCCATTAAAATTAAAGTGTTCCGCCATTACTCCTGTGCAAAAAGTTCAAAATTTTTAGCTGTATACAAATATACAATCGATTAATGTTTTGCCCGATGTCGAGAAGCTGTTCGAAGGGATAATATACAAACAAATCATAGAATTCATTGGAGAAACCAAAATTTTGACAAATAATCAAGCTGGATTCAGAAAAAAATGTTCCACAGAACCAGCAATCCAAATGGTGGTGGAAGACTGGAGAAGAAGTATAGATGAGAAAGAATATATTGTAACAGTATTTTTTGACTTCAAAAGGGCATTTGAGACTATAGAGAGGGAAAAATTGTTAATGAAATTGAGTCACTATGGCTTTAAAGGATCAGTATTACACATTTTACAAAATTATTTAGTAAATAGAAGTCAAGTTGGAAATATTATGTGAAGTGTTCAAAATATATCAGTAGGGGTGCCACAGGGGAGTAAATTAGGGCCATTAATATTTATTATTTATATAAATGATATCTCTGACATTTTAGAACTCTGCAAAATTCAAATATTTGCGGACGATGCACTTATATATATATATATATATATATATATATATATATGTACAATATATATATATATATATATATATATATATATAACACATAAGCATTTGAAAATTATGAATTGGTTAAATGTCAATAAAATTAAATTAAACACTAATAAAACAAAATGTATGTCAATAGGGAAACATTTAGGTGATAATACAATTAGGCTCATGATTAATGATGAAAAAATTGAAGTAGTCGAATCATTTAAATACCTATCTTGGTATATATGTGGATATTAAGCTACTGTTTCACGACATTATGAATACAGTATTTTATCGAAAAAGATAAAATACTTCTATAGAGTTTCCAATAATCTTAGTATGCATTCCAAAAAAATAGTGAATAACATTATAATTCTTCCTCATTTTTGATACAAGTTCAACCAGCTTGTTTACAGCAAATGAAAACATATTTTGAAAATTACAAATTCTACAAAATAAAGCTATGAAAATCATTTTAAATAAAAACAAATATACCAGGATTAAGTCTATCTTAGAAGAACCGCAGTGGTTGGATGTGAAAATTTTCATATATTATTTTCATATTCAAATAAAAACTAACACCACATTTAGAAAACAAAATTAAATTTAGATTAGATTCAGTATAGATTTTCATCTGCAAAATTGTAATAATAGCATAACAAGTAAATCTATATTTCAAATTTGAAATTAATAAATTGAATAATGATATTAAATAGAGTTCGAGTTTCAAAATGTTTAAGGTGATATTAAAAAATCACTTTATGAATAATAAAAATACATAGTGATGTAATTTTAACAGACAAGAATGTAAAATTACAGAAAATGGATTGAAGAAAAATATGTAACCAAATTATTATACAAAATTGACATTGTAGCACTAATGCTAAATAAATCTTCAACAACAACAACAACAACAACTTGTGATTAACCTTGCTGTTCAAGTCCAAGGTCAAGTTCCAAAAATAGTTTCTCTTTTCTCCATTTCCGCGGTCAAAAAGAGTTGTCATTCAAATGACCTTGAATGTCATCATGGTTAAGGTTAGATCCAAAGTCACAATTAGATATCCGGGGAAGAATCCTGAAAAGTTGTTAATATTAGTTGTGTGTACAGGGTGGCCAATTAAGCATGCGAGGCTTAAGGCAAAAAAAGTTTTTACTAAAACGGCCAAGAGAAAAACCGGGAAAATATTTTCAAGTTTCTGAAATGACCGCTAGGGGGCATAACTACAATCATGAATCTTAAAAAGTGATGTTTCTGTGGATTCCGCAAAAATACCTGATCTTTAAAGTCGAGAATAATGTGAACTTGTTTGTTTGATGTTTTTTTGCTGTATCTCTATAAATAAAGTGGTGAGGAGTATTCAAAGGTTTCCGTAAAAAACAACCTGTATCTTCAAAACGCCTGAGCGGATTTCAACAAGCTTGGACTAGTTGAAAAGACCTATTCTTTTGCTACAAATGTTAGAATATTTGAAGTTTTGTTAGTTTCACATATGGCCGCTACAGTTTTTTTTAGATATTCCGACAGCAAATGGTTAATTTAAAAA